GCTTTTACCAAGTGTTATTTCCACATCCATGGAAAATAACTGTCTATTCAGCAAAACAATCATAGATGTATTAAATCATAATTGGCTGTGTTGTATGACAAGAACTTGAGAACAAATAGAAAGGAGATTACAGTAAAAACTCTGCCATGAAGACAAAGAACATGTACGTGCTTCAACAAGGCATTGTAAAATGGTGTTATAAGTGCGAAAATCCATAGCAACAACCTTTTCCTATTTCTCGTGGCCACATGATTCCTAAATGGCAACTATTTGTTACTACACTTTTCTATTTGACTTATTGATTCAGCTTGCTTAACTTGAAAGTCAGAAATCTGTAACTTTGTGGACAAACCTTTAAAATCTTTTGCTGCCAGAACCGTTTCTGTATTTTTTGCACACATGTTAAAATGCACATTTTAGGGGCATCAGCCTGAACTTTCTTCACAATATTCTGAGCAGTGGGTGAGTGTTGTAGACAGGCCCATCTCTCACTCAGTGGATTGAGAAGTATCCTGAAGATAGAGTTTACCATCATTACACTTTTGGTTGATTTCTGTCCAGAGGACATAGTGTAAAGAAGCCCGTGGAAGAGCTTCTAATGGAAGTGTTACGACGCGAGCATCTATGCATGTGCATATGCATGGTTTGACCCATGGAGACAGGCCTGGGTGTGCGTCTCCTGTGTTCCTGTTTGTTGACCCGGCTATCCTGACCCTTCTGCTGTTCTCCTGCTCCTTGACTTCGGATTGTTCCTGACACCTCTTGTGCCTGCTGTTCTTGTACCTCGCTGTCCTCCTGGTTTTGACCTCTGCAGACACTTGCCTTGTTCTGTAATGCTGCTTGGTTCCTGCTCGGCCTGCTCTGGACTTTGCTACCACCTGATCTGCATCCCAGGCGTGCGTTCCCAGTGTTGTCTGCTGCGCTACAGTGGTGATTATGGACTACTATTCTGGCACCAGTCTTTAGGCACTTGTACCCCTCTGTGCCCTGAGCTCCCTGTTCCATTATCCAGGGGTCTCAGGACTGGAGTTGCAAGAGAGCCCCCCCTCGTCACTTCAAGCTCCGAAAAGGTACGTGACACATAGGCATTGAATGCAGAAACATCAACAATATTGTGAAAAATAACTAGTGGCCATCGTGCAATGATTTGCTGGAAGTTCTATATTGTTGTTACCTTGTCTAAGTGTCCACTCCTTTGGTGGCATTGGAGTTTTGGATTATTTTGTTTAGAGATGCATCCTTATTCAAAACGGGTCAAATTGACCTGCAACATAATAGGAGGGCAAGTGGACCTCAGTGTACATACTTAATTGTTATATAGCTACCTGCTTATAGCATTGACTTTGCTGCTCTGAGATGTTTTATGACCAAAAGCCAAAGCTGCAAAAGAAGCAGATGCTGGAAGATGTAAAAGTTTGTGTCGCAAACCTTGTCCTTTAGGAACACTCACCTTTCACAATGGCTACCAATCAATGCCACAAAATGCCACACTTGCTTAACACAAAGAAATCTGTTCCTACCATAAAATAATTAGTTGGTTGTTCTTACCCACCAGGGCCAAATGTTCACTGTCCTCCAATGATTGACAGTAATAGGCAAATAAAGGCCAAACAATATTTGTGTTATGGCCAGTGGTAAACCTCCTGAAAAAGGTAGGGGCAGTAAGTGCAAGAAATATATGTAGGTTTAAGTCAATAGTGAAGTTTAATTGGAATAGAAAAGATAGAGCAGACCACAACAGTTGACATGGGCCCTTGTATGCCCTTGTTGACCATTTGTCAGTAAAAGACTGCATCTGCATGATGGAAAGTGCAAGTTGCCAAGCAGTGCACTTCTTCACTATTTTAATATTTATTGCAAAATTAAAATTCCTTCACTCTGGAACCTGACAAATCAAAATAATCAATATAAATGCCCAGAAAGCTGAATTATTAAAAGATGAGAAAAATGAAAATGATTAAGTTGATAGTTTGATTAAAAGACAGTGCAGTTGATGGCAGATTGCAGGATATTAATCCCTACTGTATCTCATTTATTGCCATATGTTTTGCCAATATTTCTGCAAATATTTCTGCTGTTCAGATGTCAATGTACGTATTACCTTTGTTTGTAACATTTACTTTGTGCACCTCCATTGGAGGCAATAGTGATGTTTACATCATTTATAGTTAAATAATACAAAAAGTAAAAGAAGGGAGCTGAAAGTAGGAAGATATAAACTGAACTTTAAAAAGCAACACATACAGATTTCATTTGTTTTCTACTATTTGCTCTAATTTTTCTCCCAATCTAATCATCTGGAATATAAGTCAGTTTAGTGAGCCTTGGGTTAAAAGGACTTTACTGTATTCATCAAACAGCTTTAACAATGTCCTTTCTACAAGCCTTTAAGCTTTTTTATGTGATAATCATAAGTGGAACAAGAAATTGATCTTATAACTTTCCATTCAGACAATATTTTTCTTAGAGGGATTTTATTTTAATCCATTCCTGGTTACGTGCTTTTTATGATCATTAAGGGTCCTTTGTATCATTATGTTCGTCCTAGGAACTAAAGTTACTTTCCCCACCAATTATTATAAGACCTTATTGGTAATTGTGGGTAAATAACATCAGTTCTTAGTAAGAACATGTTGATACATCCCTTCCCTAACGGTAGACAGTAAAAATGTGTACTAACGTATGATTTAACCCTTTCACTGCCAGCGACGTAACATATAGCCACCGGGAGTCTGTTTCCCTGTGCAAAGCCAACTGTCGGCTTTACACTGGAAGCGATTCTGGCGGTTTAAAAGCCGCCAGCTCGCTTCCAAGGGCCAGTGAACAGAGGCTCTCTGAGCTTCCCGGGCTCCGCTGCTTCTCCTGTAGGTGTGGGAGCAGCATCCCGGGTATCGACGGGTAGCAGGGAGAGAGAGCAGTGAATTTCCATTTGCTGGTCTCCTCCCAGCTGAATGAAGTTGGAAGCGGCGCTGATTGCACCACTTCTGGTTTCTGAGCTGTCATTAGCTTCTGTAGCTGGTGAAGAAGCTGATCAAGCATCTTCTGTGCGTGATCATCTTCAATTAAGTGCATAGGTGACATTGGGGGTCTAGTAGACCCCCAATGTCACCTTAAAGAGCACCTGTCACCTCCAATGTGCTATCACATAATGAGGGCCTGTGAGCTCCCCTATGTGATAGCAATTAAGTTAAGTAAAAAAAAAAGTTTTAAAAAATAAAGTTAAATGAAATAAATTTAAAAATACCCCTCCCAAAAAGTTTAGAGCCTCCCATGCCCGCGAACACGAGTCGGGTATGCTTACATACAAAAACACACGATGGTGTCACACATGTTCGGTATCGCTATGTGAACCAGCATGCGAGTGATAATTCTAGGGCCAACATTTAAGGTTAACTATAAATTGATGGCCTGTACAGACTTTTAAAGTGTCGCCTATGAACAATTTGGGGTAACGTATTTTTCCCATTTCACAGGCGCATGCAGTTTTTAGGCTTGGCATGTTGGCCATTTATTGAAAATAAAAATATAAATAAGATTTCTTTAGACTTATCTGTTTGTATTAGCAAAAGCTTGCAGGAAGTTGCATGGATTTATGTGGTTCCATAGTAAATGTTTCTCTACTTTATCTTGACAATGTACTCGCATCTCCTATTGCAGTCATGTTTGGAGGTCTCATCAACAGCAGACGTTTAAAGTCAGAAGAACATGTTAAAGTTGTTCTGATCACATTGGGTGTGCTATATAATTAGTGAATACATCTAAACTCCATGATCTCTTATTCCCAAGCCTTATATCACAAGCTCCAATATCTAATACAGTGCTTGCAAATGCATATCCAGTTGTATACAACCTTCCCAACCTAGGCAATGTCCTACCTTTAGTAGTTACTACATATATCAGCCAACTAAATTACTACATTACTACATTACTGCTTTAGCTGTGTTGTCAGTCCTCTAGAAACATGCACTCAATCTCATTCTCCATTTGCCCTCTTTGTGGGTTACTACTGTGTAGCCAATGTGTTTTCCTTCAAAATAGTTAACATTTCACAATCCGAAAGACCCAACATCCATTTTTGACTCTCCAGTTGGTAGGGAACAATGCTGGTCTGAAGGTTCTCTCTAGTGTCGGCCAATAGCATTTGTCACCAAAATGTGTATATCGTAACATAAAGTGGAGCTGCATATAAATCGCAAGCTTAACTGAGTATCAACACTGGTGGTAATCCCACACTATAGAAATCACTGGCCAAATACATAGCCCTATAGCATGTGATTATGTAATTGCACCATTAGAAAATAAAATAAGCTTTGCAGAAAACCAGACTTTATTTGATTGTATAAGCCAGTCATCTTAAAATCCCACCAAGGCTGCAACAGGCTTAGTCATCATCACTCTTGATGGCCAAAATGGACACAAATTATTGCTGCCCACTTTGATGGCTTTTGTAATAACTGTGATGGTCATGGCCTTCACACAATCAAACAATGGCAAGGCACACCATAAATAATAGGATCTAATAAATCATTTATACATAAATTTGGCAAACACTTCCAAGGAAGACAGTGATACAGAATGTAACTTTTACCTCCGAACCCAAATACGGGTGCATGTTGCTATAATAGGTTATTTAATGGCCCCATAAGCATTAATACTCAGTCCATGCACCTTTAAAATAATGAAAAGAAAAAGATTCTAAAACACCCATTAATGTTGTAGGCAACAGTCCCCTTGTACAGTGCCCATTCATTCTGTGCAACAATCAATGTAAACTCTAGAATGAGAGGAAAACTGCACTTGTTTGGCTCATAATAGGATGGTTCCAGCTTTGATTTATGGTGTGCAGAAGTTATTTAAATGGAAAAATATACACAGTACAAAATCCATCATTACTGCACGTGCAGTCAGAAAACCAGATTCTTTCTGGTGCTCCATATTTAAGTCTTATGTTCATAAATATATCTAAAAAATAAGGAGGAGCTGAACTTAAATCAGATGTCTTTTTCAAAAATGGGATACCCTGCTTTGCAGAGTTGGGGTGATTGTATGTAACGCCTGCAGCATTAAGCTGTGGTTCTTTCCATTCCACCCGAACCACCTGTTTTCTCTGTCTGACCAGAAACTGATAGATAACAATTAGCTATAGAGTAGCTCTGTGGCAGGCTTCCACTGGCTCTTCTAGTTGGAACAGTCATGTGACTAGATGGACTCTGGACAGTTGTAGATCAATTCTCTCAGTTCTGCTGGAAGCCCTCATAGACTATTGTCCATATCAGAGCATCATACATATGAATTGATTAAACAGAGATGAGAGGAGACCCAAATGTCCATCTGCAGCTCTTGAATGTCTTGACTAAAGTGCAAATTATTCGCCTACTAAAGGGTTGCGATCATCATGTGGACTTTTAATTTTCTTTGGGAAAATGTAGATGGATGTGGACGGTTTGTAGAATATGCTCCATATTTCTCCTGCAGATCCTCGGTGGCAGCTGTCCAGACTGGTGGGTGATGCCAGTCTCTGAGACCTTGAGGAGGGAGACAAAGAAAGAATTAAGCCTTGTTTTTGTGTATGATTGAATTTAGTAGCTGGTGTGTTCTTGTGTGTATGTTTATCTATAGTCATATTACTGTCAATTACTATCTCATATTGTGTAACCTTTTAGTAACCACTCTCTACCCATAAAATCTTGTGAAAGAGGAGGATTCATTTACAGTTTTAGCAAAGTAATGCACTTTTTATTTTCTTCATTTATGATATTATTGCAAAAGATGGACTATGCCTTTAAACTTTGTGATATTAGAGGCACACGTGCAATAACACATTCAATTTCAGTGTTTGTGTTTAGATACACTTTAAAGTGGACCTTGCAGTACTAGCCAAGGTATAAAATGTTATAGCAGAAGAAGAAGATGGTCCAGCACAGTGCAGGCGCATCTTCTCATGATATTTGAGGTATTCAGCATTCCCCAGAGTCTAGATGGCAGGATAGTGAAGTCACCCTTGCCTAGGTGCCATGGGCAGACGCTAGGGTAAGGGGAAGTCCTGTCCCTTCAACACTGTACCCATGCAGTGCACCTCCCCCCGTCACTGAATGAGTTAAATGTGCATTTGACCTGGGGGGAGGGTGGTCTAAATATAGTACATACCTTATTCCTTGCTCCCATAGGCTTCCTCCTTTTTGGGACCAGTCTTCTGAAGCAGTTTAACTATGCTGCCTAGCCAGTCGCAGCTCACGTACATAATCATGAACAATGCAAGACCAACAAGACTGCATTGTACAGGACAATGGCGAGGGCCCACCCACAACCCAGAACGCTGAGCAGAGAAATTGCTCACTGTCAGGGTATAATATATAGTGTATAGTCAGTCTATCTATCTATCTATCTATCTATCTATCTATCTATCTATCTATCTATCTTATAAATAATACATTAAAAAATAAGATAATAAAGAATAATACATTAAAACAATTAGGTGTAAATAATAAATAAAGACATTAATTAATAAATAAGGAATATAGTATTTGTGCTTTACTCTTTTCTGCTAGCCAAATAAGCATTTAAACCATAGAGCATGGTGGGTGGGAGTGGGTGGTGTAGGTAATAAATAAACTGACCTTGCTTTTTTAGTGCACGTTCTCTCTTTGTACTGAAAAACAAATCTCTCTTCTTTTTTTTTTTATTACGAAATTGCTTTATTTAATAAAAAAATGATAATATCCTAAAAAAATAAGTAGTATGGTGTTCCATAAGTATTTAATCCCTGTGTTGTGGAAGCTCAGCAATGTCAATACTCAGCAATATCCTCTGCAGTTCCAGCAAATATATATTCCAGCAATGAAATACTACATACTTAATTAGCTGGAAGAATCTTGTCGGGGGAAAATAAATATATGATCAGAATGACAAAGTACTTACTTCATATTTAGGTGAAGAAGCGCTTTTATCAAAATAGCAATGATGGTCAAAATAAGAAGAGCTGTAAGTGCATAAACTGTCCAACCTATAGAGAAAGAGGTTGAAATTAAGTGTACATCACCAGCAAACAGTAAGCAAAACACTAGAAACAATCCTTTATTAAGTGCTGTAACCCATAAAAGCAATCAACATTAATTATTGATAGACTACAGTAAGATGAAATCTGAATAGTTGCTATTAGGGATGTACCGATACTAGTATTGGTATCTCTGCCAATACCGAGTATTTGGGCGAGTACTCATACTCCCCAAATGCTCCCGATGCCTATCCCGATATTGGAACTTCCGGTATCAGGAAACAGGGCGGCCAGTGATTAGATGCTGCCCGGTTTCCTGATTGGCTGGAAAGCCGGCTCCACTCCATGCTCCATCACCAGGGAGTATGAAGGTAGCTTCCCGGCCAATCAGGAAGCCGAGGGGGCGGGTAATGACTCGCTGCCCAGCTTCTTGATTGGCCAGAAAGCCGGCTCCATGCTTCCTCGTCACCTGGTGATGAGGAAGCATGGAGTCGGCTTCACGGCCAATCAGGAACCCGGGCAGTGTGTAATGAGTCACTGGCCAGCTTCCTGATTGATCGAGAAGCTGGCCAATCAGGAAGCGAGTCATTACCCCCACCCCTGGCTTGGTGATTGCCGGCACCATGCCCCCTCATCACCTGGTGACGAAGGAGCTTGGAGACGGTTTCCCAGCTAATGGAGAAGCCAGGGGGTGAGTCATTACACGTTGCCCGGCTTCCTGGCTAATCAGGAAGGGACATCCGGTATCAGTGAAAGTGAAAGTTGTCTGCATACTATGCCACTCTTTGCCAGGAGATGATACCCAGAGGCCATTGTCACGCTGTACTCCTTATCTCTGTCTGTGTAAGAATTATAAATCCTTTGTGTAGCAACATGGAGGCTCCCAATGTTCCTTACTATGGAACTACTTCCTCTTCCATGGGTAGAGAAGAGGCGGACAGTTGAGATCTTTCTGCAGTATCAGTACCGCAATTGTATTGTGGAGGCATAACTATGACATACTGTTGCCCAGATTGGGACCAAGATTTAGTGCCTGATTTAAGAAGAATGATGGCTACATAGCAACAATGTAAATGGACACATGGATTAGGGATGCTACAAATATATGCCTAGACCTTCAGTTTAAAGTAAAACTAAAGCCCAAACTTTACATTGAATAGAAAAGGATGTTTAAAACCCATTGCAGCTTTTTTTTGCCATCTGTGTTCCACTGGGAAGATTTCCCTTTATTTTCTGTTCAATAATGGTCACCAAGACAAATGGAGAAGGTAGTTCTGCCTAACAGGGACACGGCCAACAATAAAAACCTGGCAGATCCCTCTCCACTCCTATCCAAAACTGAAAAAACAAGCTTTGGCTTCAGTTGCATTTTAACTCCAACCATTCGCATGAAGAAATCCTGATAGACAGCCACTGTATTTGTATGGTCATACTGCAACTTCATACCAGCAGCAGGTGTAACAAATGAAAGTGTGTATCTTTAGTTCACAGGGAAGGAAATGTATCAAACTGGAGCAGACATAATCTGGAGCAGCTGTGCATGGCAACCAATCAGCTTCTCTCTTTCATTTTCAAATGTTAATTGAACATACTGAAGAGAGAATTGGTTGCTGATTGGTTGCCATGCACAGCATTTTGGCTGCTCCAGATTTTGGCTGCTCCAGGTTTGATAAATTCCCCCCCAGGGACTTAAGGACGGGGCCCTTCTAGACTATGTCAGGATTCAGAAGAGGATGACACCAGCAAAATGGGATTGGCCAACATAGGCACATCTGTAGCTCTGGATTACTGGTCCCCTGCACCCCAGAAATGGAGCTGGTGAGGGACATGAATGGCTAATGTAGGTGAGTTTAAGATGCTTCAGAAGGTAATACATTAAAAAAAAAGTCCTGAATGAGTATGAGGGGCTCGGAAGGAGCAATAAGAGCATGATTATTTTTTGCCTGGAAATGCCCTGTAATAGCACTTGCATTTCCAGACCACATTTTGAATATACAGTATATTGCAGGCAACAGACAATGTTAGCAAATAACAAGCTTACTTTTTAGCTTTATTGCAGTTAACATACACTACATACAGTATGATATAGAACAAACAGAGTGTTTTGCAACTGATAACTCATAACACTACTCTTGCTATTATAGGACCAATAAGTAGAATCAGAGGCTTGGAAATGTCTTACCTGGCACTTGACCAGTTGGCTGGCTTGGACTGGTTGTTATGACATAAAGGATCTTTGAAGATCGTGCTGCATTGATACTGAGGTTGGCTGTCTGAGTTATCAACTCTGTCTGTGTCTGGTTGGATAACTGAGGTTTCTCTAAAGTTCTTTCCTTGAATGCTGTAGAAATAAAAGCAAATGAGAAAAAGCAGGGAGAAGAAATAATGTACATTAGAATCAAGCATATGCCATGGTTCCTTAAGGCGAGCCCCTTGCATATGTCTGCCACACCTTGAAGTTTTGGCAGCCATTGTTGCCTAGTCAGAATACATCACATACCAGACTTTAAAGATTAAACACAAGGCTAACCTAAGTGTGGACCTCTGTGGGGTAGAATTACTCAAGGCAAATAGGCTGTTCACGTTGCAAGGGAATTTGCACGTTGCAGGGGAAGTTTCCACTTAGCTTGATAAATGTGAGGTTTCACTTTGCAAAGAATACTCAACCATCTGCAAGGAAATTAGAAAACGAAAGATTCACCTCATTCACTAAACTAAGGGGAAACTTCCTCTGCAAAGGGCAAATTCCCTCGCAAAGCGAGCAGGCTATTTGCCTTTATTACATCAGCCCCGGTGTATGCTGTCTGCCATAAAAGATTTACAGTATTGTGATACTGAGTTAGTACTCAGTATCTACTGAGTTAGTACTTAATGCACTTTAATGGAACATTATAATGATTTGTATAAACTGGAGTACACGTCTTCCTGATTGGCTGGGAAGCCAGTTCCGTGTTTCCTCACGGCACTGCCGGTCAGAGGAAATCTGCCTCTGACCAGAAGTTCCAGTAACGCGGAAGGTATCAGAGCATTTGACCAAGTACGAGTACTCGGTGTCGGTGCATCGTTGTTAACAACCATGGATAGTGGCTGTTATATCTAAATAGCCCTGAGCTGGCGATAGGTATGGGTTGGTTTTGGCTCTCTAGGATAAACCCTTAGCACAAGTTACAGCAATAGCATTTTCCAAAAATGCCCAAAACCAGCCTAAGGTTTATTGTTTGCAAAATTGCACAATATTTCAAAAGGTCAATAAAACATGCAAAGTTCAGGACATTCAAATGAAATCCTTCCATGTGCTACTAACTAAACAATTAAGGCAGGCCTTGACTACGAGACTTACTAGGTCTAGCGCCTGTTAGTTCTTCTCTCTAGACATACTAAAGACAAACCTTGTGGTTTTAGCTCCACCAACCAAGCAGACTGTTCCTAGGCCACACTAAGATAAAGCTTTAATAGAACTGTTAAAAAGTTAGTGGTCTTTTGGGACCACTTCTTCTGGGTGCACTGGTCAAGAAATGTGCAGAGTCAGTAGTGTGTCAGCTCAAGGAGAAGCTCTTTAATTACTATAAAGAGGCTGCTCCTAGCCAGATGTTATCAATCAAAATATTCAGATAGTGGGAAACAGGGGAGGTAGCAGCAGTAAGTGGTTTGTTACTGTCCCTTTGACACTGTAGTATCAGTTAAGGTACTAATTTGTAATATATTTTGGATTGAGCTGCAAAGCAAAGATCTGCTTTAAAGTTTCACTGGCCCCTCCCTTTTAGATTGTAAGGCCTCATGGGCAGGACCCTCCTTACCATCTTGTCTTGAATTGTATTGTGATTGTAATGTCCTCCTTATATTGTAAAGTGCTGCACAAACTGTTGGTGCTATATAAATCCTGTATAATAATACAAATAAAGTGTATGTAAAGCCAAAACTTTTTTCTTTGTTTTGGATAGAGTAAGAAAGTTTGTTCGCTCCCCTATCAGGGAGCTTTCTGTTTTGCTATCACTTCTTGTCAAAGACACAACAAGAAGTAATAGGAAATCTATCCAAAGCAAAGGGAAATCCCCTCTTTGGAAGATTTCCCTTCACCTCCTGTTCCATTGAAACCATAAAATGATCCTATAACATATTGTGGCGGAGACAATGAACACCAGGACAAATAGAGAATGTGAAGCTCCACAGTGACTACGATGACACAAATAAAATCTGACAGTAATTCCTTACTTTTTCCAAAACACAAATGGAGTTTTGGCATTACACTTTAATATCCACACATGAACCTTGTTAACTTGCACAAGCATTCGTGTTGTTCTTGTGAATCATGTAACACCTTGACATTATTTCAAACCAAGTGGTGTCCAACAAAAAAAAGCAGCAATGTGCAAAGTACAGTAACTCAAAATGGTCAGATTTAATTTTTCACAGATTTGACTAAAGCAAACTGAACACTGATTGGCTGCTATATTGTGCACGTCAATGCTACAAGTTATGGTGGTATCTGTAATACTGGGTTCCAGGCCACAAGGCTGCATACAGTAAAGTTTACATTGTGTAATTACAAGAATAGGATAGGGCGACCACCTAAACTGTACTTTAGACAACGGCTGCAATCATCATTTACAAATTTCTCATTAGTGCATAAAAAAATTCCATTGTTATCAAAGAAGAACTCCAGGAATTTCAGACGTTAAGCTTTGCAGTGGGGCTCTAACAGGTCTATTAGATGTGAAGATGCCGAGAGACATACTACGACAGGAGCAGAGAGGGAGAGATGTGAATGTTCATTGCCGCAAGACCGTGGATTGGGTAAGTATATCTTCTTTATTCTATCCCCAAGACCAAAACCAGCAGTGTGAGGGGAAACCCCACTGCAAGGGTCAACCTTTGAAAATCTTGGAGTTCTTTAAGCTGTAAAAGGGGTTACTATAAAATGTATGCCAAGTGTCAATTTTAGGAGGCAGAATACCAGATGCCTTGAACCTTGAAAACATTTTCTATTGTGTATAATGTCTCCTACTGAGCTGGCTTGAAGCATTTCCTGCTAATGGAGCAGGGAAACCTTGATAACCAACCTGTGTTAAGGACACCAGGTGAAATTTAGGAGCGATATGTATGCTTGACTAGTTAACTGGAATGCTGCAGTTCTTTTGAATCTTCCTGCGATATTCTTCAATATCATCCCTAGATACCAGACAATAATGCCTTCTGCAGCTGCCTTCTCCCTCTATTTTACAGGTAAGGAGGGGCACATAAGAGAAGAACTGATCTTTTATTAAACAACCATCTCAAAGAAAAGCGAAACTGTACACCTTAACGCTATTGAAGTCCTCCCACAACAGAAGACTTCTGGCTAAATACACATTCTTGTAGTTGTAAGACCAGACTTGTTTTACATCTGTGTAACTCTATGTAGTTCAAGTTTGAACAGCTGTTAAAACATACATGTCAAACTAAGTGTATGATGTTTGCCTTTTCATGAGCAATACCCCTACAGATTTACGTGTGTACTGTATGTACCCCCCACACAATACTTAAAGTGACAGTAAACTCAGGAGTAAAATCTTAAAAATACATTCAGTTATCTTAACTATTAACTCAAATGGACCTTATTTGTGTATCACTCAGCTGTAGATCCTCAAATCATCTCTGAATTGGTGCTGACACTGTCCTTCCTTCTGGAGGGGGGCTTCTTTTGTTTCCCATGGTCTCTGTGTGTGTTGGAAAGTAGCTTCTGTTCCAAGCTCACTCCCGTGCTGGACTACAATCTTAATACAAATTAGTAACCTAAACATTAGATTGTAGTCCATCATGGGAGTGAGCTTGGAGCGGTGGCTACTTTACAACACACACAGGGACCATGGGGAACAAAAGTAGCCACCCTCCAGAAGGAAGGACAGTGTCAGCACCTTTCAGAGATGTTATGAGGATCTACAGCCGAGCGATACACAAATAAGATACATTTTTGTTAATAGTTAAGGTACGTGAAAGCATTTTTAAGGTTTAACTCCTGAGTTTAGTGTCACTTTAATCAAAGTAATTACGTAAATAACACTGAACTGGAGTTACAAAATCTTCAATAAGCATTATCGTATAAAAAAATAGATACCCCAACTCCGTTAAAACAATGTCTTCATATTCAAGTTGAAAAACATTTCATTTCAATTCCTAGGACATACAGTAGTTGATTGGTACAAAAACGAGGTTAGTTCCATTGATGGAAGGAAACAGACAAATAGGTAGTGGGTGGTAGAGGGATGCTCATTTGAACATTTTTCACCCATTGAAAGGAAAATTTATTAAACTGAATCATATCTAGTGACTCCTTATCTTAAATCAATACCTTTCTATTAGAATAAAGTTCTTAAATGGCCATGAAAAGGGTGTGAATGTCAGGACACTTAAGTAAAGATACACTGGAAGAAAGATACTACATCATTTTGGAAAAAGCAGAAACTAGCTATAAATGACTGCAAGTCTTTGTACAGTATATAGAAAGCTGAAACTGATCATTCTAAATATTATGATTTGCTAAATTGCCACTAAGGAAAGTTTAGCTGTACCTTTGAATTATTTAACTTTTGTACAGTAATAATTCACCTAGTGCAGGTTGGTGTTGAGAAAAGTAATCAGTGTTTAATTGGAGTTATATGCTAATAGTAACTAATATGCCAATGTCTGCATCTTTTAGAAATAGAGTTGTTAGGATCTATGAAAATTCTGCATATTATAATAAAACTCCCATCCATGCTTTGTGGTTGATTGCCAATTTGCTTTAGAGTTATTAAAAGTAAATGTAAGTGTGTATGGAAGGCTTGAGCTCAGTATAGGACTACAGGTTCTAAAAAGATAGATATGTTGGGAGTTAAAATCTCTAAATAAGGATGAGGTATGAATTGGTTGGCTGTTTGCAGTTCATTGAATGGGCAAAGTAAATGGGCTGCTTGCCCGGTCACTACAGCGAACCTCCAGCTGCTGCAGGAAGTTATTCATTTAGTAGCAACCAATGATCCAGCTGCCTGCCAGCTTGTTTTATACTGTAAATAAGCCAGGGGCATTCTGGGTGATGTCATTGACCAACTATGGTAAGCTGCAATATATTAATTTCTGTTCTTGGGTATAGATCATCAGAATTATGTAGCTAATTGTTAGACTACTGACATTTAAAACGTGATAAAAGTGCACTGTGTTTTTATATACTGTATTCATATATATATACATATATAAACTGTATACTGTATATATCTATATATATCTATATATAGACATATATAGATATATATAGATA